AAGCATTGTAGCCCTAAGGCACCAACAGTGAAATCAAGCAAGGACAGTCACCATCTGCATTAAATGTTTGGGGCCATACAGTCAGGAGGCAGAGGGTGGCAGATGTTCTACCTTCCTCCTTACAAAGCGCATAACATGAGGTTGGGAGCACAGAGAGGGTTTGCTTCCAATTCTACAGTTTGATTGATTGATTGGTTGGTTGATTGATTAACTTGCTATGCATTTTACTAGTGCATCCATTGATGTATGTCTTAGAAACCTGATTTGCCAGGAAAGAAACTGAGGCAAAGAGGGAGGCAGGCTTCAAAACGTTTTATCCAAAGCCCTGTCCAGAGTGCACTCTCTCTTCCTCTCTCTCTCCCTCCACTATAAAAAAATTTCATAATTAAAGAATAATGCATGCTTTAGCTTAGTGATAATAACCTTACCCTCCAAAATTATGTGGGTATGTGGGTAGGTTCAGATCACAGCTCAGCCACTTAAATGTTAATGACCTTGGGCAAATTCCTTAACCTCCTTAAGATGACACTGTTTCTGGAAAATGGGAAGCAGTGAGGGCCTTCCAGGGCACTGAGAGGCTCAGTGAGGTAATTCACATAAACAGGCATTTGGAACAAAGAAAATATTTATTTTTAGGAAGTGTCCCACACCTGGAAACAGGTGAGGTAATGCTCAAAACCCTGGCTCCCATGGCTTCCAGGGGATGAGTTATAGTGGGGGTGGAGGTTGGGGGGGTGAGGAGGAGGATCATTTTCATGGTGACTAAGGGAGTTAGGGTCAAGGTTAGGGGCATGCTCTCTGATTGGTTGGCTATAGGATAGGAAGTAGTCAATCATTGCATCTGGTCCTGGTGCCAGCCATGGCCTAGTTTCGTCCGGTTTTGCCACTTTTCTGGGCCTGAAGCTGAAACACAGCTGAGGCCTAGATGTTGTCTCTAGTTTGACCGAAACTGTCTGGGGTCAACAGACCCGAAACTTTGTTCCTAACGTTATCTGATTCGGGTCAGAACCTCATTGTCCTGAGGGCCTAATGATTAAGGTCGTGCAAGGGAGAAGGAAGTGGGTGAGTCAGGGTGCTGGGTGAGGCTAGTTGGAATCAAAAGGAAAGAAGGAGAAAAGGTCAGATTGAAGAAGTGAAGGTTCTTTGCAACTGCACATTTTGCTTTCAGTTGGTTGCCATGGATCAGAGTCTGACTCACCAGAGCTCTTCTGGAGAAACCTCAGCCTTTTCATAGCTGCTTTAAAAAATAGTAAACTGCTAGCATCGTTAAATGACGATAAAGATTAAACTGTTAACAGAATAAAAGAGCTAATTGGTTTTAACTGCTCTGCATAAAAACTGTGCTTTTAAGAATTTCATTACTTTCTATAATTAAACATTAAATTTTAAATACTGAATAGCAACACCACTCGGTTTTCAGGAAAGTGCTCCTGTTCCACTCCATTGCTAAGAGTTTAAAATGTCTGTGTGCATGGGATCAATATTTGGTCATTAAAATATATATATTTGCCTAACGTTCAATGAGAATGAATCTAAACAGCTGTGAAGATGGACAAAATCGCCAAAGGTCTTCAAATTCATCTATAGCCAGAGTTTATCTAAAGACCCTCAGAGAATGATTTTAAAGTATCCACATTTACTTTTTAAAATTAAAGTGTTTCTTTAACTTTTGACTTGGTAAATTTCTTCTGTCATTTGGAAGAAAGACCGGAATTCTGAAGCCACACCTTCCTAAAGCGCTAAGTTGGAGTTGAGGCACAGTCCACAAAGGCGGGCAGTAGGGTAGCTGGTACACGGTTGGGGGTCTTGTGCAGTGAAATCATCCCCAGGACAACTATGAGAACCGTGTGCAATTCAGTTTCCTGTGAATACATACATTCACATGAACTCTACTGCTCCTTATTTATTAGAACATAATAGAGACAAGACAGACAATACTATTATTTCAAGTGATTCTGGAAGTGAGTAGTAGGGAAAAATAAAGAAAGAGAGGTTACCCTCTTACATCCCAAGAGGAATGGAATTTGAAAAAGAGCTATTTTGGAGAAAACTAGGACATTTTTTAGACTCATATAAAAAATATATTGACCATCTACCACATGCTGGCTGTATTAGGTGGTGGGCTCCCCAAGACCACCCTCAGGCTCAATAATTCTCTAGAAAGATTCAGGAAATGTGATTACACTCACAGTTGTGATTGATGATAGTGAAAGATGGAGAGTAAAATTAGCACAGGGAAAAGGCAAAGGGATATGGACCAGGAAAGACCAGATCAAGTTTCCAGTGTCCCCTCCCAGTGCAGTCACATGGGCACACTTAATTCTCCCAGCAATGATGTGTGAAAACACATGGAAAAGGTTGTCAATCAAGCCTTGGTGTCCAACGTTCTACTGAAGGTCAGTCCTATAGGCAAGCAGTGTCCTCAAGATGGGCCTCAGCTACTCAGACTGCCCCAGAGCAAAACAGGCCTTCCCTAGAAGTCACATTATTAGGATAAACTTATTTGGTCACACTGGTGCAGCTTGGGTCAAGGCCTCCAGAACACAAAATGCTCTCATCAGGCCGAATATTCCAGAGGCTCAGAGGTTACAGTCTAGAAGTTAGCTGAGGAACCATCCAAACATGTGCAGGGTTTGAACAACCTAGGCCTGCTGAACTAGTCCTTCCCATTCCACTGTTACACACATTACATCATAAAAGAACCATCTGTGACAAAGTTCCGTTGCCCCATTTTATAGATAAGAGGTCAATGAGTGACACTGCTGACAAAAGTCATAAATATGAGCCAATTTTACTGGAGAATTTTTTTTAACTTTTTAAAATTTTTTATTTTTTTCAATTATAGTTTACATTCAATATTATTTTGAATTATTTTCTGGAGGATTTTGACTTCAGCTTGGCTTTAGGTACCTACATTGAAGAGTGAGCACTTCCACCTAAAATGTGTTTGCTTTATAATGCCAGCATGTTTGAGTTCCTTATTCTTGATCAAAGGATGAAGTTTACAGTCATTTTTATTTCAGAGGCTGGAAAAAACCCTTCTGTAAGCTTTCAAACTCTCTCACTGGGCAGAATGAAGTCCCCAGAAGTAGATATGTGCTAGACCAGCGGTTCTCAACCTGTGGGTCGCGACCCCTTTGGGGGTCGAACGACCCTTTCACAGGGGTCGCCTAAGACCATCAGAAAACACATATATAATTACATATTGTTTTTGTGATTAATCACTATGCTTTAACTATGTTCAATTTGTAACAATGAAATTGGGCGTCACCACAACATGAGGAACTATATTAAAGGGTCGAGGCATTAGGAAGGTTGAGAACCACTGTGCTAGACTTTTGCATCTCAATGTCTGAGTATGAAATAATGATTTGTGTCTTCATTCTCTCATTTCTGAAAGCTCATAATCAGTGTTTTTCAGATGACAGTGAACAGAACTCAACCTCAAACAAAACGTGCTCACTACTTATCACTGGTTTTCCTGCCCTTGCTGTTGGATTGCTTTACTCTCTGAATCAACAAAGAAAACTCATTAGTCTCACTTTGTGAAAACTCTTCATTTTCCCCCCAGACTTTCCATTTCACGCTGTGTGAATTTTATTAAGATCTCTTTCGCAGAAGGTAAGAGCTGGCTCTATGGGGCCGGAAGGGATGGTAGTCACAGCCTCTGGAATGTCTGAAGCCTCTTGAGACCTTTCTTTTCTACTGAAAACTCCTTGGAGAATCATTGTAAAGAACCTGAAATCTTTTGATGCTGGAAGACATAGTTTGGCCTCATGAACATTTTGTGCAAAGTTGTTATAAACTGAAAACCAGCAGCACAGCAATCCAGTTAATGTCCAACATCTGAGTGGTAACATCATACTGATAGTTTTTCTCAAGGCCTTCAATTATTTTTAAAAGCTGGCCTAAAATAGCAACAAAATATTTTCCATTTTATAATTACTCTTTGTTAATTATATTTACCTATAGCCCTGTTGCCTAACAAATTGTCACTGGCTTTATTCCAATAAAAATTATGTTTTAAAAAGTTAATTATAATTTAAAAATAAATTGTATTCTGATTTTCCTCAAATTTATGTAATAAGAATTTCTAATGTATTATATGCTCTTAGAACTGACATAGAAATAGCTGCCTAATGGTCTATCAGATAAAAATAGTATAATTAAGCCAACCATTTCTCTATAGTGGATAGTGAGATTAGTCCCATACTTTATGATGAAAATAGTAATAGCTAACATTTTTGAGCACTTAATATTTTGCATATCAAGTCCTTTAACTGTCATAAGAATCTTATGAGACGGGAACTATTGTTTTCCTTATGTTAGATGTGTGGAAAGGATGTACAGGCAAGTCATTCACCTTGCCCAAGGTCACCCTGGTAAGTGGCAGAGCTAAAATTCAAACCAAATATAATAGAGCCTCCTTTATGCCAACTCGTTTCCTAGGCTATCCCAAGATTTACATAAGGATAACTCCATTTAAATGAAAGCCTCAGCCTATGTATGCAAATTCATAAACTAAAATTTTATAGTCTTCTTATTGGTTCCACTGCATTGAATATGCAATTGCAGCTTTTTCTTAAGTTCTTTCCATTTCAAGAGCTATCAAGTCATAGGAGGTAGAGTTATGATATCACAAATGTGAAAATACTCTAAAAATAACTATTTGTTTTATTCTTTATGCATTGCAATAACCCAAATCACTTTTATCTGTTCCTTTACACTGTTGTGAACACTTCATCTAAAAATCCAAATATACATGGATTTTTGCGCAGAACTCTGTTCTGGAAAGATGTGTTGGTGGGTTGGCTGGTTGGTTTGGTTGAGGGTGAACCTGCTTCACTGTCTCCTGTGAAAGTCAAGGGAGAACATTAGTAGAATTATTAATATGACTATGGAATTAATATGGCACAGGGCAAGGGTGTCTTTCACGTGGAGAACTGTTATGCACTTGAACAGTTGAAGACCCATCTCTTTCCCTGTCTCTGTTCTCACAGAATGTGTGACACGGGGGAAGGACTATTCACTTTTCAAACAAGGGAAGGAGAAATGATCTATCAGAAGGTGCATTCTGCGACACTGGCCATAGCTGAGCAACATGAAAGATTAATGCTAGAAATGGAGCAGAAAGCCCGGGTAAGCCTCCTTTCTTGGTACCTGAACAGCTTGGAAATGAATGTCACTGAGGTCAGATGCACATCGTGTATATGTGGTCCATCCATGTCTCCACTCCAGTGTCCACCCCACCCCGGCGTCAAGAGCTCACCCCAGTTGCTGAATCTCATCTAATTCTCTCTTCAGCTTATGAGAAGAGAAGTTATTTGAGGCCACTAAAGGGAGCCCTACATTCTGTATATTTACCTGTGTGTGACCTGTTGCCATGGTTACCCAAAAAAGGGGTGGAGTGTACAGAGAATGACATAAGAAGCAATGTCCTCTCCATATCTCCATATACTACTGGACAATCAGAAATTCAGACATAGGCCCAGGAAACTTAAGTAACTACCAGAAAGGATTCTACTGTTCTTTTTGTCTTTATCTTTGTCCTAGCATTTCTGAAACTTTTCTGTCCTCCACATGTATCTCAGAGTCAATAATAAAATGTTTGCAGAAGGAGCTCCTCTTGTTTACCGAACGAATGATTTGCCTGTTATCTGGCCTGAAACCCTGCTATCTACAGTTTCAGGGTCAAGCTAAGAAATGGTTTAGTCCAAAATCTGAAAGAGTAAATTTTACACATAGCTGGAAAAAAACTTATAAGCTTTATTACTGTCTTTTAAAAGCAAACAATGAAATGATTGTTTGCTACAAGCCTAAGAGGTGAATATTGTCTATGTCTTCAGGATTTGTGGGGATGCATGAGATTTTACCTGTGAGAGGACAGGTGGACCTTTAGGACATGGGGGTGGGGGAGTCTGGCATCAAAAAAACAATGATTCTATGCCAATTTAAGACTACTGACTTCTCTATCTGGTATTACAGTAGGATTTTTCTTGCTTTTTTCATGTTCTTTTTTTAAATTTTTTTTAATCCATTTTTCCATTGATTTTTAGACAGAGTGGAAGGGAGAGGGGGAGACAGAGAGAAACACCGATGTGAGAGAGACACATCAATCAGTTGCCTGCCGGATGCCTCCAACCAGGGCTGGGAGCCTGCAACCAAGGTACATGCCCTTGGCCAGAATCCAACCCGGGACCCTTAAGTCCACAGGCCGATGCTCTATCCACTGAGCCAAACCAGCAAGGGCTAGTATTACAGTAGATTTGATTTTAAAATGTCTCAATTACATAACATTTTAAAGTATAACAAACTTTCCAATATCAAAAACAAAGAAGTCATTTAACAAATAATCTCATGCTATTCTTAATGCATTTTTAATTTTCTCAATACTGCATACATAATTTCATCTCTCTGCCTAGGATACGGTGTAAATAGCTTTCCTAACACCCAAGGGTGACAACAGCCCATCAGGCTTATCCAGACATTTGACCTCCGTGGGGAGAATGAGTAGCTTGAACATTAGTAGGATTATTAATATGACTATGGAATTAAGTGAATATGCATTAATAGGAGATTAGTATGGCTTAGTCTTCTAGATTTAGGTTAAATTTAAATCATTGTAACAATTTTCTAATTAATAGGACATTTTTCTAGTGGCTTAAATATATTATAAATGTAACTGACAAATTTTAAATTATTTCAGAATCTTGCACATTCCTTATCAGCCTATATTTGTAATTCACTGGTGCTTATTGGCAACCAAAATTAGCAATTGTGATGTCACTTTCTATTAGTTAACAGTTATAGTTCTTCTTTACTTACACTTGTTTTGAGCAGGCAAAATGCTCCTAAGTCAAGTCATTTAAATTAAATGTTCATGAAGGAAATTCCAAGAGCTTTATCATGCCACCATAATTATCTGCCATAAGGAGACCACTTAGTTAGTGTCCTGGGTCCCCAATCCCACCACTTACTGTGTAATCTTGGGCAAGCTATTTAACCTCTAAATGTTTCATTTTCCTTTATCTGTAAAATGGGTATATAATCGTTCTATTTTTTTGGTTGTTATGAGGTATCTGTGCATATGTATCAACATATATACAGGGTGGGCCAAAAGTAGGTTCCAGTTGTTCGTATGGCAAATAGTACAATAATTAATTAATAAACTCTGTTTCACGTACTCACAAGTGTAAGCCTACTTTTGCCCCACCGTGTGTGTGTGTGTGTGTGTGTGTGTGTGTGTGTGTGTGTTGTGTGTATGAACTTCTAAGAATAGTCTTGGCACATAGAATGTACCATAAAACATTCATTATTGTGATGGCAACCCATCTGTAGGAGTGATTTTGAATAATTATAAGATTTGCAATGTTGTGTGACACTGAGAGCAAGTCTGGGGAGTGGAGCCAACCAATTGCCGCTGAGGGGTCAGAGACGGTGGGCCACTCGCTAAGGTCTTGGGCGGTCTAAAGCTGGAGGGAAACGCCATGGATACAGGTGCTTGAAGGTGGAGGGGAAGTGGGGAAGGTGTCAAAATAGCAGCCTCGGTATGAATCAACAAAGAATCCAAATCTTTCTAGAAATCACAAATTCAGAGACTTTATCTTCTTGGTACATACATGGAAATGGAGCATTCAAAAATGATTGCACAAAATGATGCTTTTCTCTGAAGGTTCATATTAATAAAGTTACTCCAGAGCTGGTCCATTTTTCAGAGTAAGTTGAATTAATGATGCTTTCTGGAGGACAACTTGAAAACTACCCCAATTCCCCAAATTCTAAGACCATTAAGCGAAGGTTTTCAGGTCTCCAAGACAGAAGATTTTCTTTCAAGAAAATTTTTTTACATGCACAAATCTCTTCTAAAAAGAAATTCTAACAAGAATGAAACAGCAGTTAAATACCCTCTCCATATTCATGAAGCACGAACTCATCATTTGCTTATTTAAAATAAAATGAAGGTCTGTGTTATAAATTAGATAAAAGTATAACTTGGGAATTGGAAAAGCACCAAAAAAACTATCTAGGATATAAAAATGTTGCATTTCATTTATTATGTATCTATTGCAAAATAAGAAAATGACACTGTTCATTGGCCTTCCAGTTTTTAAAACCAGGACATGGAAGATTAATATTGATCAGATCAACGATGTTTATATATTTTAGTATGATTAAAAAGATTTTACAAGACTAAATTACCAATGAGCTATATAAGCAATGAATGCCCCAAACATACTTGTTCAGGCAATTGAATGAAGCATTTATTTGCATCCTTTTTAAAAGTGATTCGGGAGTGTTACTGGCTTTAAAAGCAAACTTGAATGAGAAATAATGTTTCAATAACCATTTCTTAACTATAAGAGAAAAAATTTAATATAATATTTTCATATCATATGTAAAACCTTATTTTCTTTTTGGTTATTACCTCCTTTCTGGAAGGACACATGAATAAAGATATTTTGATATATCACTGTAATCTAAATTAGGCATTATTTCTATTCTTGGTTGAAGAATCTAATATCTAGGAAAGCAGTGTGAATAAACAGTACACTTGCACTGCAGAGTATTGAATAAAAAGAATCACTGAGCCCGGCCAGTGTGGCTCAGTGGTTGAGCACCAACCTATGAAGCAGGAAGTCATGGTTCAATTCCTGGTCAGGGCACATGCCTGGGTTGCAGGCTCAATCCCCAGTGTGGGCATGCAGAAGGCAGCCACTCAAAGATTCTCTCTCATCATTGATATTTCTGTCTCTCTCTCCCTTTCTCTCTGAAATCAATAAAAATATTTTTTTAAAAAGAATCACTTAGTTGGTAAGGCTTTTAAAAGTGTATATTTTGGTTTTCTTCACTGACAAAGATAGTGAAAGAATTAATTTACATTAACTGACTCAAGAAGATTTTATACTTGACAAGAAAACTTACCCAAGTGTTGACAACTACCAGTACATGATATACTTTCTTCTAAATAGTTGCATGAATGGGGAAATACTATTATATTGCATCAATTCAAAAATGCACATTTTTTCACATTTGAACATCTCTCATGTTAATGTAAGTTACAGTTTAATTAGTCGCACTGTTCTTTCCTGTTGCTACCTCAGATAATGTCTTTCCATTGATGGCATCTTTAAGTGCATAATACTTGTTATAAAATGTATTCTGAAGACATGAAATTATTATTCCCAACTATAGCTAAATAATCTTTCAGTTCCTTTCAGGTATATCTATCATGACCATAAGCACCACATGCCCATTTTTAAATTTTGAGGAAGTGAGATAGCCTTCCAGAACAGACTCTGTCCTGGGAAGTTTGATTTCCCCGACAGTGGAAGCATTCTTCACATCCACATTTTACAGGAATCTCTATCACTTATGGGGAAAAAAAAGTTTCCCACACTAACACTGCGAAGAGTCTGGAAGCATAACAGTCCGATGAGAGTGCACAGAAAAATTGTACCACATTATGCAATCTCTTCTCTAGGTATTGTTTATAGACATTTAAGAAATTCTAAGGAAAGTTTAAATGTGTGATTTGTGATTGCAAGTGGCATGTAATATCTAACAAGTTGGAATAGCTGCTAATTCATTCTTCAAGATTCTATTCATGAATCTATTACTCAACATTATCAATTATTAATCATAAGACAAGAGCCTTCATTATTATTGACAGTGACCAGTTCCCTGCTGGGAAATGCCAATCACATAATTGTGAAATTTCATTTTACTGATCGATAGACACTGATTGTAATAAACCAACACAGGCTCAATTAGAACAAATTATTATAGTCAATAATTAAAGTGTGTCCATGATCCTAATGAATCAGTTCACTTACTATTGCTCCCCTTTCAGAATACTAAAGAAAATGTATTCCAAACAAATACAAAGAAAAATACCCATTTTTGCATAAATACACAACTGAGAGGGAAATAGTCAGAAGGCAGGGTGTAAGTTTTCTAGATGATGCTGCAACATAATATAATAGTAAGGATTTTCTTTATATCATGTTCTTGTTCCTTAAGCTTGGCCAATGCATGGTTTAAAATATACAATGATAACATTCATTTTTTTCAAGTCAGATGAGAATAATATTGCACAGTCTAGTTTTAAATAACACCTAACAGCTTCCATTAAATTATTGTATAAACTGCATTTCATTTGTTAGTCTGGTGCACACTCAGCAAAGTGTCTTCTAATTCCTTTCCATTTAATTCAAATAAAATGAAAGATTAAACGTGAGATGTCCCCTATTGAAAATTAAGTCTAGTCTGTGAGAAACCAATTGCCCATAAACCTTCAAACTTCAGAGGACGGTTTGCATGAATACAAACAGTGCCAAGCTCGCCTGGCTAAAGGTCTGGGGGGGGGGGGTTCTATTCTATACAGTTTCAGGTTTCATGAGCTTTTTTCCAAGAACAAAGAAAATTACATGTTCTTGACTTGTATTCAGCATTTCCTCACTAAGCAGCTCCACATTTTGTTCTTATACTGACATACATTTCACACGTCACATTAGCCTGTTTCCTAACCACTTGTATTTTCGTAGTGTTTCTAATTTACAGCATATATTCCTGCCCAGTCCCTCTTGTCTCAGACATACCAAGGAACATGTCGACACATTCCACCCAAGATAGGGCATTTCTTACTCCATCATACAGAAGAAACTGTGACTATGATCTCTCTGAGCCTCATTTTCCTTGTCTGTCGAGCTCAGGTGGCATATTTGTTGACAATTTATGTGAGTATAAATGCGATGATGGATGACACCAGTTTGCACATTGCTGGGCACAGAGAATGACTCACCAATGCTAATTTATAAATACTGAGTTTTCCCTCTCCCAATTGTACCGATTTGGGTCTCAAGTGGTAATAGGATTTTCCATTTTCGAAGCAATAATTAGGGAGATACAGAGAAAACGGAGAATTAATTTGTTAACATTTTTATACAGATGAATTTTATGTGGGTAAACACAAATTAGCATTAATGTTTATCACAGGGGGAGGCAGAATCTCAAAACAGCACAGGGAAATTGCAAAGGCAATAAGATCTAGTGGATAATTTTTTTGGTGAAAGCAGGAAGAGGTGCTGGTAGGCAGTCCCTTCACAAAAATCACAGCAGTCTTCAGGCCTTGCCTGCTGTTTCTGGACAGCAGAGATCCTCTCAAGTACAAGGCTCTATTGTCACATATTATACTATGTTGGGGAGGAAGCTCATTTTTCCCAATAGCATCAAAGGCTAAAGAGCAATGGGCTCAAGTCAAAAGAACTGTTTTCTACTAGAGGCTCTGCAGTTGGGATTTTGCCTTGAGCAAGTTCCTGAATTTTTCTGGATTTTGATGTTCCATTGAAAAGTTGGGAACTGCTAGATTCTCCAAGGAGGACTGTAACCTGGAATTACATGGCCAGAGCACAAGGTTAGCTTGTGCTTCCTCCAACCATGGCAACCTCAGGGTAGTCAGACTTACACAATGACTCAGAGCAAGAGGAGGGAAGAAACTGCTTTGACCCTCTTAAAGGACATGCCCACAGCAGACAGGATGTCATGGTGACCACATGTTATTGATCAAAGCAATCGCCAGATAGCCCAGATTTGGGAGCTTGGTAAATAGACACCCCATTCCTGAATCCAGGCTTTTCAAGAATCTGCAGCCATCTTTATTCTTCCATAAAAATACAATATTTAATACTATTTATGATGCAACTTCATTTGAAATACATCACACAGAATCTCTTCATTGTCCAAAAAAGCAGACGTTCAGAACAGAAACATGATTCTATTTGTGATTGTTCCAGGGGATATATGGCCTTAGAAAAGTTGACTCCTATCTCAAAGCCTCAGCCTCCTCTCATTTTAAAAAGGTATTCTTCATCCCTTTCCCATCTCCCAGGAATTTTATGAGGATTAGACTAGATAATGCAAATGATATCTGGACCAAATACCAGATAAAATGACCAAAAGAAGATAAAAACACAGGATATTTGAATTCAGCTGAAAATAAGGAAAATATGTTATCTATACACCTGTTGTAAATGCCTCATAAGGAATTCTACTAAACCAAGTGCAGATGAAACAAAGAAGAGATTAATGGACGATGCACATCACCATTTCTTGAGAAAGAATCCCAGAGCTTCTAGAAAAGTAGAGGCAAATATTGACCCATGTATTTGGAAGAGTGGGGCTAACAGATGGAGGTGACAATTTCATAAAATGAGCCTTGCCTCCATCCCTTACCATAGTGGTATGATGGCTTTCATGTGTTTGATTGTTGTATCTTAAAACATATTGTATGCGGGAAACGTATTTATACGTTTTACATTGACTGTAAGGAGTAGAGCCACCTGTTAGCGCGCGATAAAAACTACCCGCAAACAATGTATTAACATGCATAGCTCCACCCACAAGTTTGTCCAACCGAGAGATGTAGGGTAAAAGTAGACATGTGCATGGAAATAACATCCCAAAGACACTGAAAAGCACTGCCCTGTTGTAACCCAGAAATTTGGCTTCTCCCTCTCACTCCTTACCTACCAAACATGGGATGTGGGTGCCATTAGTATACCTGTTTTCATAATAAGGAGGAAAACTTTGAAATACAGCAAATTCTGAAAATATAAAAATTGATTGCAATGTTGATATTTGGAGCCATCTTTAAAAAAAAAAAGTATCTTCAAAAGGGCCAGACTTTTAAATACACTGAATGGGGCACTTTTGTCGCGAGACATAGCAGCCTGGCAATGTCCCACTGCTAAAAAAACAAAATAAAATGGGTATGCTCATGTCCTTGGCCTTCAGAGTCTATTAAAATGGAAGCACCTCGTAGCTTTACATGGCGTTAAAGGTCCTGTTATATTCTCTCAGGTACTTTCCTTATAGTATCTTCTAGGAAGGGTATAACTAACACCTGATGGAAAGTATGGAAGTACTGGGGGCGAGGAGACCTCAGTAGGAAAGTGCACACACAGCCAGCAAACAGGCCTCTAAGGCTGCGCTCGACAGAGCTGATCGTTACAGCTTCCAGTTTTGCCAAGAGCCAGTTATTTAGTAAGAGGAAATCGGAGATTTTATTAATTAGAGGATTGCCCGTTGTCTTGAAAAATATGTACTGAGACCAAATAAAATCGTTTCTGGGTGTGTGTTTTAAAACCTGGTGTGAGTCCATAAAAATAAAGTTTCTTCTTGAAAATCCAATGTGAAGTATTGTACTCTTTGAACTATTCATATGCCTGAGCCCCTGATGTGATGTGTGGACCTCTCCTGCTCACCTGAATTTTATGTTTCAAATAAGAAAATGCACCACTGTTTTATCACAGAGCTTCTCAGGAAAAACCATTTTTAAATACACGAAAGCATATCGCAGGACCAAGGGGAAAGATCTATTCGAGCAAAGAGCCGTCGAGTAAGGATGGGAGGAGGTGACAGGAAAGATTGTAAGACAGGGAAATGGGTAAAACAGAAATGGGACCCTGTGTTGACAGCATCTTGGGTATCTGTTTCAGAAGGGACTTCCATCTCTTTTTTTAGCTACTTTAAACTTCAGTTAATTGTAGAATGCTGATGGTAATGCAAGCAATTCTTTGTCATAGAAATGCAGATACATTCTCCTGAGGAATACAGTTGGTTATTTCTGTGACCAGCATTCCTAACTGGGGATATGTCCTTTGGAAACAATGTGGAATCAGTGGTACCATCCTTTTGTTCCCTTCTTAATGAATGACTGGGATTAAATTGCTTACAATTGTTTATTTCGTATTGGTCCAGTCATGATTTCACCTTTTAACAAACGTTATCCTTCAACAGCAGATGGTGCAGGGGCCTAGAGCAGATTCTATTCTCTGTCGCCCACATTTCACTCTCGACTTTGAAAAATGCAGATTTCAATTTAATCTTTTAAATAAAGCCTAACACCTATTTTCTTTTTCTTTCAGCTTCAGACAAGCTTGACTGAGCCAATGACGTTATCCAAATCAATATCTCTTCCTCGTAGCGCGTACTGGCATCACATCACCCGTCAGAACAGCGTTGGTGAGATCTACAGTTTGCAAGGCAAGTAAAGTAACCAGCAGCACCGCCACAGCTTCCCCAAGTGGACCGGGAGTCATGCAAATACTTGGTATTTGCATTGCTGGCTTTTCCTCCATTTCCATTTATCAACCCTCACTGGCCACAGTGGGAGCTCTAAGATTGACAGTGGCTCTGTCATTTCAGACTCATGATAAAAATTATTTCAAAAATCACCCAGGGCTGAGTACCCAAGATGGCATAGTAGCTCCACCTAAACCTTACCCAACACATTATCAGGAACTAAATGTAGATCATAGCAGGGTCTGTTTTCTGCTGTCTTTTACAAAGGATTTTTCTCCTGGCATCTATTTTTCCATAACAGGATTGCTTATAAGTTTAGAGGCTGACTTGAGGCTCTATAATAAAATGCTACAGAAACCCACTCACAGCAATGTTAAGGTTTAGCCAAAGCCCTGACATAGAAACTATTTGGGGAGTTGGGGGACAGAAAGAGACAAGTGTAAATGCTTTGCTTGTGTGATTTTCCTACAGCTAAATGGTTAAATAGCATGGGGATGGCTTGATGGATTAATCAAATTAATAGCAGGTATTTCATCAACAGCAGAAACCTCGGCTTTGGTGGTTCATTTCCTCTTCCTTCCCTTTGTCCTTAAATGAATAATCTTAGCGTTTAGAAAAGCACTCAGCTGCAGGCAGTTGACTCACCGCTGACCAACATTGGAGGAAGCAGGAGCTAAGAAAACAGTTGAAAACACTCATCCATCAGACAAGCATTTGTTGAGCACAATAGACGTAAACATAATAGAAACCCAGTAAATATCTGGTGAATGAATGGCCATTATGACTTTTGAAGTAGTTAATGCCTAAGGGTAATGCAATTAGGGTATTTTTTTTCCTTTTATACTTTAGCTTTTGCTCATATTAACAACACTAAGTATTTTGACCAAAATAAATCTGTTACAAACAAATAGTATATTTTTAAAGCAATATTTTCTTGCTGTAGTTTCAAACCTAGACTAACAGAATTTGATCAGTGGGAATTAATGGTTAAAGATATATTCTGGGCAGTGAAGTCAGCATCATGGTGGAGTGATAAGACCCCTTTGTAGCTCCCTTTGAAGTTACAAGTGGGACATCTATCACCCAACAAAGTTTCCTCTGCTCAGCACAGACTGACCTGAGAGATCCACACATCAGTTCAGCAGGTGGACGTATTGGAACTTGGAGGGTGGGCGGGATGGAGGGAAGTACAGGGAAGGGATGGTGTTCTCAGACACAGTTTGGTGCCTGCCTCAGCCCCAGGTGGTGGAGGAGTTAGGGTGCGCACCCCCCCGCCCCCGCTTTTGGCTCAGCAGAAAGTGAAAGAGGCTGAAGTAGCGTAGGTACACGCCTACCACCCCCCCACCATTGTGGTGGTGTCCCGAGAGTTGGACACAGTGGGTACCCACCACCCTGTCACCCAGTCATCAGTTTTCTGTATCACATGATCACCCCTCGCTCCATGACCCAGGAGGCAAAAGTAAAGGTCAGAGAAAACAAAACCTTGCACTGTATCCCTATCTACTGGCAAGCAAGAATTTGGTCTGTAATTCCAGCAATAAAAGACTGCTGTTTTCATGGACGGTAAGGGAAACCTCTCTGAAGGGAGAGCTTGGATTTAGACTGACATACAATTTCAGAAATAATTTTATATGCAGCCAGAAAAAGCCACCAGAATGCATTGCAATTTCTTAAAACATTGCCAGAAACTCATTGGAAGACAATGTTGATTTACACAATAAAATACATCTATAACTAATTAGAAAACTCTATGATTTATCTCACTAATATTAATTCCAAGCAAAGTTGAGGGCTTGAACTATCAGTTATGATGAGCAATTTACTTATATTTTCTCAATATCACATTTTTTGGTTATTTGTAGTTTTTATGTAATAAGAATGCATTGATTAAGGTAACTACTATGAATCAGATATAGAATATATTCCATGTAAATTAAATTTCACTGTAAGTTTATTTTTATATTGTATACTTCTTAGAGCAACACATTTTACCTTTTTATATACTCCTCATTTTATGGTTATATTATCGAGAGAGAAATATTCAGATAGGTAGATAGATAGGTAATATACAGATAGATATAGATCTAAACATGTTAGTGATCTTTGAGAGTGGTGATTTATTTTATTCTCTTTTGTTCTATTGAGGCAGTCAAGTTAAGCAGAAGACAAGAGCTTTTGGCCATAATTTTGTGGGGGTTTTTTGTTTTGTTTTTTTATGGGGGTGTAACCTATTCTGACTACATCCTGGTGGAATCAGGACAGAATAAAACTACTGAAACAAAAAAAAAAATAACAATAAGAACATTGAGCCTCAGCACCCCTTCTTTGCACACCTACATTTTCACCAAGTTATACTTAATGGTGTGGTTATTTTGTGTCTCATTTCCTCGGTTGTGCTCCTTGAAGTGGCTTCACCTTTCCTTTACAAAGAGGAGAGCATAGAAGGGCAGCTGTCATCATTGACCTTCCAAAGTTGAAGGAAATTTTTGGCAAAGGCAGGTATCATATCAAGTAAACCACGGGTAGCATTGAGGAACAAAAATATATCTTTCAAAGTTTTTCATCATATGTTTTATATTCTAACAGTGAAGAGGAGATCAACATGAGTAAGTTCGGCGGGCTTTCATTCAGAAGATAAAGGGGGAAACGTTTTCGTAGTTAAGGTTTAACAGATTGGGATTCATTATTAAACCACACATGAACTAGAACTAGAAAATTCATGGTGTGTCAACAGATCCATTGTGTTAAGACTCACCTATCACTCTGATTGCCTGCCACCCTCAAAACTGCATTTTGCTCAGTTTTACTATCTCTATTTCTGTCATTGTTTTGTAACTACAGAAGCAAGATGCACTCTAAAGGACTGGTATAGCAATAAGGCATTTACTTTAATGCTCAGAAAAGAAGGTCTCCATGCTACTCCCAGAAGGGTGCTGGGAAAGTATAGGTTGTTACGGTTTCCCTAGTGTACTCTAGCTCTCTGCAGTCAAAAGACAGAGACAAAGAATAATTAGCTTTAACAAGTAAATGTTTGCTAAGTACCAGGAACCTACTGTTTCAAATCGCTTCCTCTAAATGGCTTGTGATGGGTTTGTTGCCTCTTCCTGCAGAAGGGGTAAAATAAGGACTTTTCCTTTTTTTCGATTTTGCCAGATACTAAGGATCGATTTGTATTTGAAGGTAATTTTCTGTGTTTATTTCTCCCACTTCTTCTGAATTTTTGAAAAATATTTATGTCACAACACATTCTGGAGATGTTATCTCTAGACTGAAGGGACCTGTTAAAAGGGAAGGAAACCAGATTTCAGACTCTTAACCCAAAGTGAATGCTTCAAACATAGCATTTATTTTACTATTGTTAGAACTGGGAGAGGCTGGGTTGCTGTCTCTCTCCACCTGCAGCTGCTTCTCTGGGATCAGTTCTTCCACCAGCTCCCGTGATGAAAGGGAGCCAAGAGTGTGAGCTGAAAGTGGTCTCCAGGGGCCCTAGGACCATGTCCTCTCTATACTAAACCATCCCTGGTACATGTAATAAGTAATTTTTACACAAAATTATATGGATTTTATCGTGACTCATTTTTTATTTTATTTTTAAATTTAATTTATTGGGGTGAAATCTATAATAATAAAAGCATAATATGCTAATTAGACCAAACGTCCTTCTGGACAACCTTCCGGACGATGCCTGGGCTGCAAGGGAAGCCCGGGTCCTGGGTCCCGGGTGCCAGAGGAAAGCTGGTGCTGGCAGCCAGGGGAAGGAAGGCCTACTCTTGCACGAATTTCATGCATCGGGCCTCTAGTTGGTTAATAAAAGTATATAGCTTTCAAGTGTACAATTCTATACTCCATCATCTGTATATTGCATTGTGTGTCCACGTCCCAAAGTCAGATATCCTTCTGACACAATATTTCACTTAGCATGATATTCTCAAAATCCACCCAAAGTGGATATAAGACCTGAAACAATAAATTACATAGAAGAAAATGTAGGTACTAAACTTATGGACCTTGGTCTTAGAGAAGATTTTTATGAATTTGACCTCAAAGGCAAAAATAAATGAATGGGATTATATCAAACTATGATGACTCATTTGTTGACTCATTTGTTAGCAGCCTGAACAACTTCACTCTTTGAGTCAAGGATGACTGAGGTGCCCTTTACAAAGATGGAGTTCCGCTTTCATTAACACTGATTGATATTCAAATGCCAGCTCCCTCTGCCTCCTATCATCAGTAATTGAGCTACAGACCCCGGTGTCAGCACAGCAGCAGACCTGCAGCAGACCTGATTACACAGAAGGTATTTTATGTTCACAGAAAGGGCATCTGTGGCTCTAAATTCTCAGAGAGCCAGGAAGCAAACAGGCAATTAGAATTAGAGATAACCTTCAGAAACGGTAGAGTTCCAACATGGATTAAGGAGGTAAATCAAGGGATTTACTTCTCTTTGCTCAGCTATGGCCTTCCGTTCATTTTTACTGCCCAGTTTCAAGATGGCATAGTAGGTAAATAGCTTCCATTGAGATCTTCTGTTTAAATGTTTATTATATGATGTTTTCCAAATTGCAAAGTTAGTAAAAGCAAGTAAAAAGAAGAAGAATTGCTCCAGTAGTAAAAAGGAAATTGTATATGTCCAAACTACCATCTTCCCTGTATTCGATCTATTCATTGTCAGGACAAATCAGCTGTGACCTTGGGCAGCAACCAAGTACATTACATTCTCAATACAGCCAGGCCTGTGGGTGGCAGTTTGGCAACAACCCTTAAAAACATGCACCATTTTCTAGAATGAACACTTCCTGTCTGTTAAGCATTCTATGAACATTTATTGCACATCCTTACCTTAGGAAGGATAAGTCAAAGGCAGAAAATGCCTCCCTGGATATCCGTTTTTAAAGATAGATTAATCCATTGCTCCCCAAATGACACCATAAAAATGCTCACACCCTGCAGTCATAATC